TTAAAAAAATGAAATTTATAATTATTATCGCTATTACACTAACATATGTAGCACCCATCCTGACCTCAGTACTCACTAATAATTTGCACTGTCCTTCCAAAAGTTCAGTTCCTTTTACATAAACCAAACCCCATTTTATTTTATGCAGCGTTAAACTAAAAGGAGAAAGTACATAGAGATTTGTTTAATTAAACATAACCACCTGAAATGATGTTGAAAAGTGTTTTTCGCTTTGAATTTATATAGACAATGAAGATTATTAATTCAATGCGTCATTTACATTACACATATAAACAAAATATAAGTTACATTAAAATATAAGCTGAATTTGTAAAGGAACAAGAGGCAAAACAAAAAAACCTCTCATACATGGTGAAAATTCAGATTAAAGATCATGAGACCACTGAAACAAATATATTGGGACAGACACACGACAAATTTACTTTCAAACTGTTAACGTTCTATTAATTTATTTTGCGTATTCATGAAAAAACTGTAATTACTTACGTACTCATGGAGCTGAGCCTTTCTTGAGGAGCCGCCAATTGTGCAGCTACTTAAGAACTTCCCAGAATTTTATTGAACCCGAAGGCTCATTACCGTGTTCACAAGTGTCCTCCACTGGTCCCTATCCTGTGTCAGATCAATCCAATCAATACCATCCCATCCTATCTCTCTAAGGTCCATTTTAATATTGTCTACCCACCTACGCCTTGGTCTTCCTAGTGGTCTCTTTCCTTCTGGCTTTCCCACCAATGTCCTATATGCATTCCTTTTCTCCCAATTCTTGCTATATGCTCTGCCCACATCCTCCTCCTTGACTTTATCATTCTAATTATATTTGGAGAAGAGTACAAGTTATAAAGCTCATATTTCAGGTGATTAGAAATCTTCTAGAATTCTCTTCAGAAACAGAACTAACCAAAAATTAAGAGAATTGTATAATATTCCTGATATGGTAATAGACATTAAAAAACGGAAGGATGAGTAGTTAGGACATGTGGTTAGAATGGCTCCACCAAGGAAGGCCTGCTTCCAGTACGTCATTCATAATCACCTTGTCCTTTGGCTCCATATAGCCCATGTGGAATATTAGAAAGGTGCTAAACAAACGCGTAGTCTAAGAACTAAATCTCAAGATGCACTTCACTTCTGGAGTGCAATTGTATGTACTGTATATAGTTCAAGTAAAGTATTTCTTAATTTCGATAAAACACTCAATTTAAGACTGAAATACAGCACAATATATAATCATTACTTAACAGTTTTGATTTACATGACAAGTTTATTTTAATTCAGTATTTTCGGAGGATGTTTTCGAGACAGGTTGAAAAATGTTACGTTGACAAACACAGTGACCATATTTTGTGCAATAATGGGCCTTTAAATCAATCTTGCTTTAAACACACACAAAAAAAAAGGAGGCACAAATAGACCTCTCTATTTGCATCCGAATCAGTGACCACATGGAATGTAAGCAATATCCACGCTCGAGGGAATATAGTGAATGTGAAAACACTCCTCTTTAAAACAAGACTATACATCACTTACGAATAGCAGTTTGTGTTTATCACGAAATTAACGCTCTTAAATATTTAAAATGCCAACCTGAAATCTAAAATAACTGTCACACAGTACCAAGCAGAACCTCTTATGCACTAGAGATAATCCACAATAAAATGTTCAGTACAATGGAACGTCAAATTTCTCTCCGAAATAATTGAATTAGAGGCTAGACACGTGGAAGCTTTCCACTCGACTCTAAAGCGAGTCATCCTTCCGTACATAAGGAGAAAGTTCTGTGAAATAAGAAACCGGAAAAGGCTGCAGGAAACACCGAAACGTCAGAAACAAAGGGGGAGAAACAGCGATGCTTTCATTGATTATCAATACGCTGAAATTACAGTAGCTTCAGTTTTGCGACCAAGTAATTAATTTTAAAAGATGGTTTCTTCAAACAAAAAAAAAAAAAAGAATTTACTTGGAAGCGCTTCTGTGGATGTTCTGATGCCAGTAAAACTGTATTTTAAAAAGACATTCACGTATATAAGAAGAAAAATCTTGTTCTTCTGTTCAGTAAATATGAAGTTACAGAAAATTGAATGAGATTAATTCTCTTTTGACTTTATTAGTACTGAAATAACTAGACTGTGGAATAGTGTATTTTAGACTTCCGTAGGACACGTACCTTCTTATATTTCCCACGATCTGATCGTCCTTTGGCTCATTTTGCGGTTTTAAAACCTGATGACTTAAAAACAATAATTAAACTCATAAAAAAATGACAGAAAATTGGATCCATTGCATCAATTAGGTAGTGAAGGGCAATAGCAATTCTGTAGCCATCACTCCAGATACTAACACCTGAAGATTACCAATATATATTGAAATATGTAGTGGAATTTTAATAAATGTTAGTCATCGAAAAATTTGTGTTCATGATTTTTGAAAAGGTAGGATACAAATTCATTGACAAGGGAATTTGGTATTTGCTGTTGATCATCATTCCACAGAAGCCCCTTACTTGCTTCGCCTATCATCGAAGAGAGAGGCCTAGACGGGCCAATATGATACTTGATATGTATATCATACACTACCTCTGCTCGAAGAGCACGTTGGCACAAATGATACTGAGTAATAACGCTAAGACTAATAGCTGACTGATAAGCAATACGTCAAACTTGATTTACTCGTAGAATGCGGTCGAGTAGCCCCTCCAGTCTATCTGCTTCACTTACTTTATACGTTAGAGTAAAACCACGAGCATCATAACACTCTCAGACTACAATATCATTAAACCATCTTCTGTGCTGATGTCAAAATACAAAGAGGAAGAAGAAACAGCTCGCCTGCTGTGATGTCGGTTGCATCTCCACGAAAGCCGGGGGACGCTGAGGGTGATCTATCACTTCGACATGCGATACGCAACGCAACCACACCCTCTCACCCCACCATCCTCCTCTGTCGACCACCACAGGGCATCGGGCTATTATTGTTCTACCCATTACCCCTAATAGATTGCAGTATCCCTTTTCGCCCCCCCCCCTCCGCCAGTTTTATGCCACGTACATGTATATAACAAGAAAGTGGCTTCTACAACTGGAGCCAGCTAATGGAGCAAGTGATTTCAAAACTACTCGTACAGCGGCAACTGGCCCTGTACATTATTCGGGTCGACTTTATTACATGCTAAGTTGCTCCTCTCTCAATACATACTGTATTATTGCGCTATAGTGAATATTCTTAGCACTGTAAATATACTGTGTCCCTACTGTAATGTGACGTTTAGACCCAATGCTAGACAACGGCTCGATTAACACTTCCCGTGGAGACAGACTCTTGGTAACAGTCCGTTGCAGGGTAATGCCTACAACAAAACGCGACAATAACGGACATCACTTTCTGGACAACGGGCCAATATATACCCATTCTAGAAGAGAAAAAGGGTGTTTTCCATGGAATGCTCTCTGCATTCCAAGCCATTCAACTGCTCTGAAGATGGAGGCGATACGTTCCTCCGAAACGTCGGCCAAAACGAAGAATACACGGAGCCTAAACCCAGAAGACGACTTTCTTCATGAAATATTATTTTTCCAACCAAATTATCTTCTCATTCAGATGGACTGATATCAGCATTAACGTTTACGAAAGTATAACAAAATTACTACGTTCCCATAAAATATGTGCATAATACTTAAAATTATTGTTTCAATAATTTTAAATTTACTCTTCATAAATAATCTCTGAAAATTAAGTTCATTTGCGACATACATTTTTTTTGTATTGCTAGTGGGTTGGGACTAAGTCCCTTGTACTGAGGCCACTTCTGGCCTATTGTACCAGACCCAGATGATAGGTTAGGGTGACTGTCGAGCAATTGGTAGAATGAAGATTGGCAGGGGAAACCGAAGCACTTGGAGAAAATCTGCCCCAGCGCCACTTTGTTCAACACAAATCCCACTTGACCGGACCCGGGATCGAACCCGGGCCGCCGCGGTGGGATGCCAGCAATTAACCGCTTGAGCTATAGCGCGGCCTGCGACATACGTTACTCCTATATCGACTTCATGGAATTATCTGGCAATATGGAAACTTCCAAGCAACAATTAATTTTCCGGAGAAAAGTGTGAAAATTTAGTAGGTGACACGTTTCTCTTCTAAAGCAATAACATTGTGGAGTACTGAGACCAATGTTAAGATGTGAGAGCCTTATTCCGTTAAACTCTCCACAACTATTACGGTTTATATCCAACCTGTGAGTGTTCACAGGAGAGAAGTTCCCTAGTATCATAATTATTCCAACAGGAAGCCATATTTCGATGAAGTATTGTTCATAGCTTTTCCTACAGAAGAGAGTTACATGAGGGATAAATGCTTAAGGTTGTGACGAAGCAAGAAAAATTATTTATTACTTTACGCAAGGTGCACAGAAGCAGTTCAAAGTCCCACGAAATTATTCCTTGATAGTACATACTACACGTCAACTGGGATTAAGAAGGCTGAGCAAATTACTACTCCTTTAATTTAGATTAGGGACTCTGAGATGCACAAATTTTATTCGATTGACACATTCGCATGCCACCCACAAATCTTTGTCGAGCTATCCTTCATTATGATTTACAAGTTACAATCCCTACCCAAACAACATTTTTTAAAAGGCATCACTCTTTTCTAAATTGGATAAATAATTATAAACACCGATTTGATCTAAAACCGTTGTAAGCTACAGCAAATCCATTAATCAAAATCAAAATAAAAAAAGAGCACAATATGAATATTAAAATTCAGTCACTGACTCTACAAAAACCAAAGAATATTAAAATTCAGTCTCTGACTACAGAAACCAAAGAATATTAAGTTTGAGTCACTGACTCTACGAAAAGAAAAGTATATTAATATTCAGTCACTGACTCTACAAAAGGCACAGAATGTACAAATTCAGTCATTCTCTCTACAAAGAAGAATCTGACACATTAATGAAGCCAAATAATCAATTTTACCTTTATTGCAGGGTATGACGTCAGGGTTCTTGTCGTCCATCTCGTACAAGTCCTCGACGTCGGAGCGGAGAGGAAGTGCAGCTTTCTCTTTAAGCGCCAAGTCCCCGGGACGTGAGGGACTGCCTCTGTTCTGTGCCCGTACCCGCAGTGCTCCCACAATAACTATGGCGACCACAAGGAGCACAGCTACAACGCCGATCAGGATTCCCAGGACCGGATTCAGCTCAAATGGCACTGGGGTTCCTGCACAATGCCATCACACAACTCCAATAAGAATCATATTGGCAAATACCACCCACACTCAAAGAACAACGATTAAATGGGCCACGTTGTGTGACAAGGACTGCGTTCTTGGCTATTTTAGCCTAATTTCCTTGTTTTGAAAAAAGTGAGGTTATGTTATCGCAATGCTGTCTGTGTCTGTGTAAACCCCATATCAATTTTTGAATGGTTGAAACTATCTTTATGAAATATGGTATGTATGTCATGGCACCTGAGCCCATCTCAACGATGTACTTTATAAATACCTCCCATCAGTCTGTGTGTCTATATGTGTATCCCCCTTATCGTTGCTAGGCAACGGTTCGATAAAGAACTTACAGCAGCAACGAATACAAATGCAACAACAGAAAAGCTGTTGAACGAGTTATTTCTGTGCTGTTAGTGTCAGAAATTATTGAATTATCAGCCAGAATGGAGGAGAAATTCCGGACGATCAAGAAAGAGATGAAGATGCTTACACAGACGACGATTAACCCTTGGGAAAAAACGCAGATGTTTCCTGTCTAAAAACTTAGGACACAAATTTTATGATTTCAGTTGCTGTTTCATATCGGCGTGTGAAATTTGGCGTTTCAATTTAGGAAATGTACATGGATTGACGGGGTTTGAGTCTGGACCCAAAAGAGATGAAGTAACGAGTGGGGGGGGGGGGTCACAGCAAACTGTATATAATGCGAAGCTTTATAATTTGTACTCTTTGCAAGATGTTAGACACATTAAGACGATTAAATAAAATATTACGATTTAACGAGAAAAATTTACACTAAGTTTTTGCCCTAAAATATTTATCTACGGT